AGGAGGACCGTACGATAAACCATTGTTGAGCCTTTGACCTATCCCCTTAATATTGTCCGTTTTCCTGATTTTGAATCGAACAGATGATGTAACTGCTCGTGTCTTCAACTTCGTCTGTTCACTGTATCAGCTCCGGAAGCGATGGGAGGGGGCTGGGGTAGAGTGAGAACGCACTGACACAAACCTGCGCACGCTTCGACCGGCAGTGTACTGTGAGTAAGCCGAGCACACGGAGCAACGGGGCCGGCACTAATATCTCTTCTTGTTCTACATTGGACAGAATTGCTTGCATCCAACATGTCCAATCAATTTTTACGGTTTCTCTCAAAATGTGTACAGAAATAAAAATGTCACAGAAGCAGAAAAAAAAGACGAAGAAGAAGAACAGTCGTTCACAGTTGTTCTACTTAAGTTGCTATGCACATGCGAAGTTGTATACAGGGATCAAGGTCAACCCCGATTTGCTCTGAAAATTAATTCGCCGGTTATTACACAGTATCCTAGTTACAGGAACAAATTGTAAGCATTTGATTACGAAAAAAAAATTTTCAAATAAAGACTTCCCCGAAGTCGCACTGATGATGTTGCCTAGCTTGGCTACGAAACGCCGTCGAGCAGCACTTCCACCTGGGAGAACTGACCAACACCAACAGAAAGAACTAATGCAAAAAATTAAAACCCTTCAAATTATTTGTTGATAGTTCATGCAGTGAAAAGTGACGTGGTGCGTTCGCTTGAGGAAACCCCACCTCACTGCATTGCATTGATTCATCCACAATGGTCCGCACTGGCAATGACTACGTAATGAAAGAGAATAGTTTAACATGTAAGCCGCAAACCAGATCCTTACTGTGACCGGCCAATCGATACACAATATTCATCAACAGATCCTGATTCGCCTGAGGTTGTTTTAGGTTCATCGTGAAAGGGGATTTCATCTTGAAAGCAGATGGGATTTCATAATTATAACATCATCAAAGATCTGTGAGAAATACTTATTGGTTGCCTATGGATTGTGCAACGCGTAGGCATGAAATTCGATCATTGACAGCCTACCAGTCAATCAATCAATCAATCATTCCGTTTGTAAAGCTGATGGGGGAGAGTTGAAAAACAATCACCGTAGATCGTTGAACTTTACCATCGCCCGACCCTGTGGATATTGTAGTCTAGCTTAATCATTCTCGCCCATTCATATTTCACNCAGTTACGTGATTTTCCCACAAGACCGCTTAAAAATATTCTACATAGTCACTTAATTAGTACTCATCTCCTCGGCACAACATATAGTTGAAATAAAAGGACCGTTGTTGTGAGGTGTTACTCACCCTTGCGAGTAATATGTTTTGACTACGCGGATGGCTGATTTCCCATAGCGGTCAAAAATGATAAGAGCCGTCTAGATCGAACCGTTAGATTAGTCGTTGTGCGTGCTTTTTGAAATCATAATGACTTGTTCCAAATGAGACATTTTGTTATATGTATGCCAATTTATGGATACCCCTCCCCGTCCGGGCACGATCTAGGCAAATTATAACATTATGCATTTGTGAGTGAAAGGGAAATATGCTTATCGGTGTATGAAATTTTCCGACGATAGTGAGACCGCACAGATGTGTGTTACTTAAAGCAAGGAAAACAGCACCCGGATTCATTCATTTCGATATTCCTACAAGTCTGATCAAATCCGCTTCCCTTCGAGCAAAACAATCGATAAAACAACAGTCGGTCTCGGTCATTCGCTCATGCGTCAATGAATCGTAAAGGTGGCAGATGTTGATTGGCCTGGACGGTTTCAAGATTATTTTTTTGTGCAATAGGGTACGTGGATGAGTGCGTGTGTGTGCCTGTATGGCGATGGATCAGTTTGCCAGTCAAAATCACCGATATCCCTTTGGGTTGCTTCTGGTTTATCAGTGTGCCCTGAAACTTCGTAAAGGGATTAATTCTGGCGGTAACGCAACAAAACAACAGCCACAGCACCAAACGAACACCGCTTTCCTAGATTCATCTCTACGATACGAAGTATCAGTGTGAGCATACCGGTGAGTGATACACTTCGATTTGACAATTGGTCCGGCAGTTGGTTTTATTAGCATCATGCATGCTTCGGAATAGCAACGGTGGAAAGTTTTGTGCTTCGCACTCTCTCAATTCATTGACGAAAGCACGTGATCAACATGTTGTATCCGTCATTTTATTACTGATTACAAATTGATGTAAATGATGGTTTTGTTGATTTATAACAGATTTAGCCACTCATGTCAACCGCACTTTACTGCAGGTTGAAAATGGTTGGCATCTTTGGGCGGCGATTCGATTTGAGGTTCAGAATAATTTTGATTGCCACGCAGAAACACTGCAAGACCAGGCAATCCATCGATTTTCCGGTTTGATTTATACGAGCTCATTTGTTTAAATGAGCAGGATGATTAAACGAAAAAAACGTGGTCATGAATACTGTTTTATTCAGACTGACTGAACTACTGCCATTCTTGTGAGAAATAGCCTACGGGATAGTAGTTCACTCCTCAGCTGAGCCATCTCCATAGACGAACCAAATTTTCGAGGCAAAGTTCTGACCAGCATGTAAATAATTAATTCCTTCATTGTTTTCTCATACATGAAATCTGATCCACAAAAAAGAGTGGTGTATTCCCCGGGAAACGAATTGCCATTCATTAAGATGGTGCTAGTCAAACGGTTAAACCGACTATTCGGTCTTCCTGAAGCTCTTAAGTTCAAACCCAATATTCTGCACTTGTCCCCACGCAGCGCTCTGTCTGTTGTAACTCTAAAAGTTGAATTGTTCACTGTAATCAGTCAAAACCGAAGCATGCGAATATTGCAAATGTTTGAGCAACCGAAGTGCAATTTTGAGTGGGATTATAGTTTGTCGCCTTAATGTCCGCGTTCAGTGCACATTGGCCATCTCTCAAACAGTCTCACCACGACCAACGTTCTGGTGATCAACCGTATCAGAATGGAGGAACCAGAGTGTGGTGGCGAACAAGTCTGTTTTCTGTGCTGCATCAACTGACCAATCATGTGGCACAAGTTCACGACTCCCAGTATCACTGGCACAATCCATTTGAAAATAGTGCGTGCTACGTGGTGAGAATGGATGTGAATGTTCCAAAAGTGCCCGCGTATTACTGGTAATAATGATTTGTAAGGTCTATTCTCTTGTCGGGCACACTGGGTAAGGTCGACTTGGGCACGTTGTCAAGGCAAAACAAGTGCTCGTATAAACTGGTCTTCTTTTGGATTGCGCCCGCGCGCGCGCTCATAGTTCCTTGAGTTGAACAGTGAAATTCCTCGTTCGTTTCTTATTTGATTTTCGCTTTCCGATCTATGTTGCCTCATTACTAAATTTTCCTCTGACCCATTTGGTGATCTCGTTTAATCAGTTTTCGTAATTTGCTCAATCGGGAATTCGGTCGATCGATAAAAAACAAATATCGATGAATCGCATTTGTTTGTTTGATTCCCTCAGGAGAATAGCAAAACAACCCTAGCAGGGGATCAAGACAGCACAGTGCCAACTCCAATATTCTCCCCTTATTTGGCCGTGATTGGCCGTGATTGATGAAGTATGCAAGACAAACTGAACTATCGTCGCATTACGGCTATCCCAAATAGATATTAACCAAACTATGGATATTCAGAGCGCTGGTCCCGGGTGGGCTTATGCAATTAAATGGTGTTGCACACTGTCATGTCGTTGAGTCTCCGGATAATTGGGATAAAACACATTCTCTCACTGGAAGTTTCAATCCGTTTGTTGTTGTTGTTGTTGTTGTTGTTGTTGTTGTTGTTGTTGTTGTTGTTGTTAAACTAACTCGGATGGGATGGGATTATTCGCTCATTTCGGGGTTGGGTGGGGGGATGAGAAACGAATTTTCTTTGTTGTTTTTCCTCTCCAGATGGTCCGGATTTTGTCATCATATGTAGGCTTCACCGCCGAGTTTTGGGGATTAGTATCACTTTGGCGAGCGATAGTTTATCCTATTCCTTCGCAAACGTGAGTTGTTCAATGATTCAATGTCATAACTGACATTGGCAATAGTCTAAGATGTTTTAAAATGAATATAATTAGTTTGTGTTGTTTTCCGAGGGATGGGGTGGGCAGTGGAGAGTTGATTCATCATATCAAATAATTCACCGCACGAATAACCGTGTAATTAATTGCCTTGGTAATGAGATATCCAGACAACTCAGTCCCGAGTTGCTACACAAACCGTTCCACGGCATCATCCACGGTGGTAAACAGGTTAGACTACTTAAAGGTGTTTTTTGATTGCTTGACGTCTGTTAGCCACATATATCCGTTCATACACCGAGTACTCAATTCAGGCCTGGAGCCCGTGGCTGCAGTGAGATCGGAAGGTATGTGAACAACCCCAGAGAATGGCTACCAACATGATCAAGGGTCTACATTCCAAGACCTATGTTGAAAGATTACAGCTCTTGGGGCTATACTCGTCTCAATATCGTCAAATCAGAGGTGATGTGATCTTACTGTATCAAAATTTCCATTAGCTCGACCATCCATGTAGATCTCATTTAGTTCTATCAACCAATGTTCATCTCAGAGGTCATCCACAGAAGTTGGCACATCAAAAGAATCGTCTCGATTGCAGACACCATTCATTTGCTATCAGAGTGTGCAGCAAATGGAACTCTCTACCACCTCACGTCATCTGTGTGCCAACATTAGTGTCTTTCAAGCGTCAGCTTGGTGATGCTCTGGCAAACACTGTTTCAACATCCAACCACATAATATATTCTCCTGTGCTCGTTAAAAACATTACATATTACTATTTTACTTTCATGGACTAACTGTGATCTTGTGAATCGTGTTCCGAACCAAAGTGTAAACACCCTATGGGCTTTGATAAGCGAAGACTTTGTAAGCTTTTCCCCATAATAAAAATTTGAATTTGAAATGAAGTTCGCAAAACTTAGCAAATGATGATGACACAATTCAAGTAAATCAATTACAATAGCACCATCCACGGGAACTGCTGACTTACTTTAGGATGAATATCAGGGATGTGGTATTCCGACGTGGTCTGCGCATTCCGTGCATTCATTTCGGCCACCGGTCCGAAGAACATGGCCTCGAACACGGGAGAAGCGGCGGCTAAAATCAGTTTGTGCGCACCAAATCTCCAGCACATATTGCCCCCAGTTTTGCCTGTACTCTTATCGATCTTTTTCCCATTCGTGTCCACCTCACAATGCATGAATAGTGATGGAGGATCGTGGCCATCCAAATCGGTCTGATCCAATGATCCTTTCACGGCTGGTGATACTCGATGCGGTGGAACCGGGGGTGGTATTCCTGTCCCTGCTGTACCCGGTTGTGGTGGTGATGGTGGTGGTGGCGGTGAGTATGTGTCCACCCTGGTCCCGAACTGTGGTATTTGAGCGTTATGGGATCGTAACGGATCTTCGAAATATGGTGGCATATCTATCAACGTGTGTTGGGACTCGTTCGGTCCAAATAGCATATCTTGTAATGTTTGTGCGTGTGTCCCACCTGGGGGATAGGTACCTACCACCATTCTCATGTCGGACGAGTTCCCGGCTGTGCTCGGAATGGAGATGGGTTGTGTGCCTAAACGACTTGATGATACCCGACGGTTGGGTGATGAATCGTCCAGATCAGAACCGACATCCGTCATCTCACTGCCAGTCAAATCGGGATCTGCACCGGTGTTATGGGACAAAGTGAGCGATTCAGCCGCATTCTGGTCATCCACAATTTGTCGGCGAGACGTATGATGACTGTTATCTGATCCCGAGTGTGCATCGACATCTGTCCGTATTGGCTTCTGTGGGTAGTTTGCGGCACTGGTTGGACCACCAGGCGCTCCGGGATCGGGTGAAACAATGCATGATGAATTGGTACTGTTTAGGATGTTCGTACCGCCAACGGTGAACCACACATCGACAAAGCGTTCGTTGAATAGTATTCGACGCCACAATTCCTTGCTTCCATCGGCATCCTCCTTCATTTTTTGTTCACGGAAGACAATGGGACAAAAAGATACGTAGTTTGTTTATTAACGAGGTAGGGGGAACGAATTTAAAATCGGTTTGAGAAGTTATTTTCTCTATGGTCACACAAAAAAGTGGGGCATTAAATCATGTGGAGGTTGTAAATTAAACAATTCATATGCGACAATTAAATAATAAAACAATAAGAGCTAAATAAAAACATCCATCGTGTAAAAACTAATATTTCATTATTATTTGTGGTAGTATTAATAGTATTATTAATAGTGACTGAGTGCAATTTTTCAAAACTTGTGCTTTGCCATTCTGACTAACCAAGTGTAGAATGTGAATCCGCGTAATTGGAAAAACCCATGGATGAGTATAGTACACTAGTGACCCAATGAAAACGGTCAGTTTTTTCCAAACCCGCTGTCATGACTCGAAATCAATACACCCGGTTTGGATCAAAAAGATATTGATTTGAGGAATCAAACTGACATGAATAAGTGTGTGTGTGTGACTAGCTGACCAAATTCAAATTTTTTCAATGCAATCTCGTATACAACAAACATCTTTAAAAGCTGTGATAACCAAACCAAACGGTGAAGAACGAGAACAAACCTAGGGTACGTTTCAAGCTAATCGGAAATGATAAAACCTCTGCACATCTGAAACTACAGGGGACATTGAAGTCAGTAGAAGTTCAAGTGCCTGGCTAAAGCAAAACTGTATCACAGATAAAGCAGAATTATTAAGTGGCAAAACTGAGGAAAAGCAATTTTAAATATAAACTGAGTATACTAAATAAAGCAATATATCAGTACAATCTCGTTACTAGGGTTTTCAGGAACAGTGAAATGACATTAACAGCTATCACAAGTTCCTGGTAATAACAACAAGAAATTGCACGCTATATGGTTCAAGATCGGTGAAATTTGTCAACCAGGCCAGAAAGGTTTTTGATTCCTGGCAATTTCCGAATCTACTCAACGGTTGCGTAGATGTGTTTTGATCGTGTATATCAGAAAAATTTCATGAGAAATGTGAGAAAATGCTCCCAGTATGACCGGATCCGATGGTTGTTCCATGGAAGTTAAGATCCAATACCCAAACAAGAAAGAAGAAAGTAATCTCACGATTGGCAATGATGGGACTGCATATGAGGTATATCGCTGTACAAAGGATAAAATAAAACATGAACTGAATATCTCGAAAGCTCCACGTAGCTAGGTCGATAACTCTTTTTAATACACAAATGGTTTGTGGATTATGAGGTCTAACTAACCCCGTTACTATTTTTACTTCTGTGCAATGATATACATATTTATTTATATTTTACATTTACTAGTATATGCACGACTTGACAAAATCTCCATGGAAGCACACGACCGGTTTTGCAGTACCCAGGAAATGTATTTTCGTCACAATAAACTCATTTGCAACAGCGGGTAAATGTCTGACGAGCGGAAAAACCAGGGAAATCGGAGAAATTTGGTCGTCATTCAAATACTACTAATTATAAAATATTCTATAAACACGCTTAAGTCGAGTCTGTCACCGTTAGTATCATCTAATCTGCATATAAATTACTGAATTATAGTATTGGTTCTTCAATGGACTGATTATAAAAGAGCTGCCCAAACAAATTTATCTGATATTGCAAATGAGGTTATTGTGACGAATACAGATGTTGACCGAACTCGTGCAACATCATCCTCATTTTGGAAATACATTTCAGTCTCCAATATCTGACTTGTACATTGATGGCTATAGGTTTTTTATTTTTATTCTTGATTTTCTCTCCAACTTCTATGGTTTTAGTTCTCTTCTATCGCCGTTTGAATTAGCTTAACCTTGAGCATTGCGATAACATTCGCAGTAGTTACAGCTCAGATTTAGAAAATATGTTAAGCAAAGCAGCATGGAAATTCACTCTTTATAATGAATGATTCCTGTTCCATGAGACTGTTTCTTAAATTAAGCGCATGTAATGTAAATTTTTTATCTCTTTTCATTCAGTGCACAATAAATAAGCGAAATAATGAAAATATTCGAACTCAAATATATTGATAAATTATTTGACTACAAACTACTCACGCATTATCTACGATACTGAAAGAACTAAAAGCATAGTCCAAGAAACATACAAGTTAATCTTCGAACGTTGACCTTGAGGTGTGCGGCTCGTTGAATGAGCGTCTTGTTGTGTTACCATACCCAAACCGGATGAAACATTCGAACAGTTGAAGCCTAGAGGCAACTTAATTGAGAGGCACATAAATTCGATGATTCAGTTGTTATCTTGCGGAAGTGCTTTAATGTGAACATAATTCCAATTTGTTACACATTCAATGAAATTTCTCATTCAAGATATAAAATAAGAAAGAGAAAACCGATCATATCAACGCAGGACGATGGTTGTATTTGATCTCGGCAGAGAAGGGTTGCACGCAACCAATCTGGAGGATAGTCCGGACTGATTAACCGTTTTTTTTTTCTCACGCTTCCGTTTGGAAAGTGATGGCTCAATTTAAATTGCAGCTGAAACCACGTGATATCAAGCCATTATGGAATGCCCGACAAAGCAGAGCATGTATTGATTTTACCAACAAATTTAAATCGCGTAATCCGTCTATTTGGTAATGGGTTTATCTCACTGGTGGCCAACCATTAATTCAGCATACGGTGAAAGCTGTTCTGCTGAGCCAGTTTGCCAATGAATTTCGTTTTATCTGTCAAAAGAAGTAAATGTTCATTCCGCTGTACGAGTTAGGACGGAATTAAATACTGAGTGCCTCGTTATTGGTCTCCTGTACACACCAAGCTGGATATCGCAAAATGTCTTGCACTGATAAGGGAGGCTTTTGGTAACTGCTACTCTTTTAAATGTATTCGCAGAAGTCATATTTTTTTCACAAATGAAGGTTGATATATCTTCTCGCTTGGGGTTGGTAGTAAAAACCGGTTAAACCATCGTCAAAATCGAGAAATCGTACATTTTAATATCATGTGGCTAACAGGAGTAAAGACATAAGTGGGTATTACATCAGATATGTTGCGTCCGATGTGGGGCAATAACATATTGACCTTCGTGAATGAGGCTAGACAAACGAAGCGTTGGGAGGAACAAACGAGATGAAAATCAGGATGCTTCACGAGTTTGGTCAATACCTAGATAGATAGATATAATCTCACTATCAGCTACTTTAGCATGGTTATGTTTGACCGTATTTATCTGCAATACTTTCTCTCTCTCTCTCTTTCGTTCCCATTACGACACAACATCCCTGGGTATGGAATGACGAGGTAACCCATCCGCGCTGACGAAGAACACACCGAGTAGATGCAAACCAGTATCTATTCTCGCACTTTGTACGCACACACACGCACACACACACACACACACACACACGAAACTTACGTTGACCTTTCGTGTGTATCCATTTTTGTCGAAAACAAGACCCAATCACGAGGTTCAAACCTGTTCACAAAAGGTTGAATTGGTCTGTCGATAAACAGTCAGGTTGCATTGTTTCTCATGCCCCAGTTGGATTCAGTGTTCGCAATCGATTGTCATGCCCAGCAAAGAAAGTCTGTCAGCGTGCGTGTGATATGACGGTCCGTCGGAATCTGTCTGGGTACCTAGTACTGCCCAGACTACAGACCTAGGCTCACGACCAAGCTCATGCTTGTGTGGAATTCGCAAACTTTTCCAGACTAGGTTACGCGTCTTTTATCTATAGATAGATGAAGATATTCACGCAGAACATCATCTAGTCTATGGCTCAGTTTATCCGAGACAGACCCCTTATAGGGTTGAGTGCGAAGGGAAAGAAACCGTTTTCTATCTATCCGATGAAAACGGCACATTGCAGATTAGCATGAAAAAGTGTAGATCTAAAAATGGACATACGAATAGCAAAATGTCTCTAACATCCATCCCACCCCCGCCCGGTTCTTAACACGATTCACCAACTCACTGCGAGAACTCACGGATCCGCACGGATCCGACAATGTTAGTTTAACGGGACACGTGTGTACGAGGATCTAGGATCAATGGTCAAGTGCGTGAGATAAACCACTGAGTCTATTTTTACATGTGCACTTCTTAAAGCAGGGACTGTACTGAAAACCTTTAAGGGGTTTTTAATCTGAAAAGGCAGATCAATTGATGAACCTGGGATTCATCATGACACCCTCTCTTCGAGTCGTCACTNCATAGCAGAACGTAGGCCAGTGTCCTCCTCTATCTCTCATCCCAAGGTCATAGGTGGGCCATATCTACCTATTTTGGTCAAATACGCCCAAAAAATCGATTAAGTTGAGAGATCTGTTCGAATTTGGCCCAACGAGTGGCGGGAAGGAGCACAGCCTCATAACACCTGGTAGTCTAGTTAGGTGTAACGCTTGTGCCACCTTTACACTATCTGGTTTGCACCAATTTAGAACAAGCTACTCATACAGATTATTGGGCACGCCAGCACCAAGGTGTCTAGGAAGGCGTTGGGTCATTACTGATTTTCTGGTTTCCCGAAAGCAGTTTGAAGCGTCTGTACACATTTTAACTGGGCATGCTTATCTCCTATTAACACGACGCATCATTCAAAAGCACAAGGTCGGTGGACAACACAAAAAACTGGACGTATCACCTGGATAAGCATTGTCCTATGCAAGCTGAACTGAAATGAACCCTGAATTTGTCGCTCACTCACTCGCTCGTTAGCTCGCTCGCTCGCTCGTACTTTAGGCACAGAGCGAGAATGCGCAAACGTATGATCTGCTCGGTGAAAATCTTGCCCGCATGACTGTTTCACACGATGAGCAGGAGAAACTGAGCTAGAAAAACAAATGGACTAGCCGATGATCTCTGCAACGTACTGACCATGTCGCGCTCAGTTTGACCAACTGCATTTGAATGCGTATGGATCAATCAAATGCGATGCGCATTTTGATGGTTCAATGGTTCATATGCGTCCTTTTGATTAGGAACGGTACGCATACTAAATATTGCAATCTCCTGCAGTTGAACGGACATTTCAATTTCATTTTTCAACGTTAAACATGCTGTATTCTCAGCAATAGCACGCTGATTCGAACTGGTGATATTTTCCCTCACTCAGAGTAGTATGGATCAGTTTATTTATAAATACACAAATTAGGTTGATGAACGGTAGACGGAAAACTGCTGCTTGGGGGACGGAAAATGAGATTTGGAGTGGCGAATCACATAAAACCCCGCCCAGCTAGTTTAGGCGTGGTATTGAATCGGACTACAACAATGCTGTCTATCACCAAAGTTGGGTAGCGATGGTAGGGGTTCGAACCCCGGACCATAGGGTCCAAAGCACGCCAGTAATAACGACTAAACTCCTGCACCACCGCCAAAACACCATCCGACAATCAAGGTTTTCAAATTCAAACCAAATCACAGAAGAACAGTGATCCGGAACATCACCATTTGTGTGAACTTCTACTTTAATCTTGAATATGAAAATCGGACAGGATGGTCGTGTGACTAAGATGGATGCATACAATCCAAAGGTTAGTTCGCTACAATATGTAATCATGTGTTAAATGTACGGTGTAACTTAACTTTACTATTATTGAAGTCATGGTAGGTTAACACAATTTTCGAAAATGCCACACAAAAATGCAAATCAATAAAGGAAAAACTTGTGTTCATGATAAACTGTACTCACAACCAGGAAATTAAACTGGTGTTTGCAGCTATTATTCCATGTGACAGGTCTGTGATATTCACGTGATCATAATGGTGACGTTTTAGGCATATCGTTGGGAATTTGACATTTCATAATGCATGACACTGGATGATTGGAAATGACGAAAAATTGTGTCTCCTACAGAGAAGTGATCACTTCGAGCGGAGTGAAGAGCTTTCAAAAACATGATTTGGTGTTTGGTCAAGCAGAAACAAAGTGAGAATAAGCGCTTTATATGCTGCAACTGTTTTGTAACAAGCAGTAAAGAGTGGTGGATTGCATAATCACGAGGATTTAGTGTTTATTTATGGAAATCGGCATTAGGAACCCCGATGAGATGACAATGGGCCAGATAACACAGGAGCTACCTTTCACCAGGCCCTGTGAGCACTGTCGGACAGTAGATGATTGAAATAGCAGTCTGTCACAAAGCATCCGTCTGTATTTAATCAAAGCTGAAATTCACTTTGCTTACTAACTCAATTTTCTAATCTGTTACACTTAGCAGCGAGCATTTTAGAGTATGCGATTTGCATCGAAATAACTGTGTAATGACTGACTGTCCGCTAATGAGAGTGCGTTCATTACGTGCAACATACAGAGACTGAAACCTTCAAAAATTTCCGAGGATTTTCCTCAACCTTCAGGGTTATTCTAAACCATTTTAGAATGGGAATAGGAATAGAGTATTTCTAGTGAAGGTTACAAACTAGACCATTAGCGGATAGTAATCGGCGAGTTCAATCTATTCCGGTGCTTTTACTGTAGACACGATTGGGTTCTATCTAAGCACTGATACGAATGTCCCCGAACTGGCATCATTTGTATAATCTGTCTGACAGGATTTGCAATGTCTGCGAAACAATTTCGGGTCACGTGTGTGCGCGCGTGCGTGAGTCGAAGTGAAAGAGAAAATGGACGGGAGAAAATAACGATCGGGATGGGTTGACGTAAAACCGCAGCTCATCAATTTATTTCCAAAGAATTAGTAATCTGCGAAAACAAACCGAAGCCCGTGTCTATCTCCAACTATCACCAACCTTAATAACGGGTAAGAGTAATAGAAGATACAAATATTGTGTGTTGCCTAAATGCGCGTCAGAAGGGTAGTCATGCTACTGCAAAATATTTCAAAGCTAGTGTACAAGTAGAGTAAAATGTTATGGTTAATTCACTACCGTATGAGCCTAAAAATACAATAGGGTGACAGTGGCGTAACAGCTTAGTCGCTATCACCGGTGTGCTTTGAAACCGGGGTTCGAACCCCGTCACCACCACCCAACTTTAGTGATAGGCAGCCCTGCTGTCGTTCGGTTCAAAACTATGCCTAGCCTATCGGTGGGAGGCCTTATGTGGTTCGCCATTCCAAGTTTAGAGTCTTAGGTGACCGGCTTCTATCAACGAACTTCGCGACTATGGAATCCAGTCCGGCTGATATTTATCCAAAAAAACATATCAATAAAATAGGTCCTCTAAATTTCCTGTAGATTTGGGAAGAAATTAAGCCAATAATATGGTTACTTGGCATTTCCTAAACTTGTTCATTTATTTATTAAAATGATGGGTGGTGTCTTAATAACCGGTCACTCGTAAATCTATCTCATCTTTGTAAACATGTGGGCAATAGGCAGAGTACTACTCGAGGATTACTTACGCGCCAATCGTTGTTTCCCCGTAGGGCATGTGAAGCATCAGACACTTTGGTCAGACTGCTCTTTTCCCGTGTCGAGGACTCACATGACTTGGCGCGATTCTGAACTCGACGTATATCCGGTGTGATCATCATGGCTGAGGGATGCACATCCTCAATACTACTCGCACCACTGATGCTGGTGGTGCTGGGAGCCTCATTGGCTGCACTCAGACAATGCACTACCGCAATACTGGGCACATGTCGCACATGAATCTCCCGATCGTTGCTGCTGCCGGTGATGGTGGCGGCGGCAGTGCCGGTGGTGGTCGTGGTGGCGGTGGCTGTGGGCCGCGGCCGATCAGGTGGGACGGTGCCAAACGCATGGGATCGGACCCGATCGGTCGAATGATGCGTGTTCACACGACTCCGGTAGCCGGTTCTCATCGGGACACTGTTTCGACGATCGTCCATTCCACTGGAAAGCATAGAACGTTCTCGTCTGCGCACGCCGGCGGAATTCGTCGTTGCATTATTCACCGGTGGAATGGGATTATCTGTTGTGTCCAGGACCACACGACGACGAACAACACGTGGATTGGACGAGGAATGACGTGAGTACAATCGACTCGCGGGGACAGGGACCCGGGGTACACTTTCTAAGCTCACATTACGCATTGCAATACTCCCCGGACCGGCTCCATTGATATTCGGGTTGGTAAAAATGATTGATCGATCCAAAGGTTCATCCGGTGGTGAATAACTGCCCGATCCATTGTGTAATCGATTCGATCGATTGGTCAGAGAAATTTGCGCATCCACTGAGCCCAGTCCGACCGAGTTGGATTCTGTTGGCACAGATGAACCGAATCGAATCGCGTTTGTTCGGGAACGTCGATTCATCAGGTCATCAACCATGTGGCATGGATTGGACACGTTATGGGACGGGGATGGGGACTGGTTCGGGCTGATATTTATGTTGGAAAAGTCCTCAATCGACCTTTGTCTTTGATCATACAATCGTGGAGAAGCAAACGAGTCGTCCTCGACAAGCGGTGCGTTTTCGCCCAGATTATTCACACTTCCTGAATGGCTCAATGGAATAGCCCGTGCTATGATAAATTAAGAAAAAACAAAACAAATTGTCGATTATCACTTTGCTGTTCACAATGGTTGTTATAATTACATGCATTGTGATATTTATTAACAAAAATGGTCTATTGTAGAATAAACAATTTCGTGAGGTTCGTCTTCGGTCTAGATACTGACTCTAGACGATTAATGCATGCGGCGGACAATGGTTCTCAACAATGAGCGATGCCGTTTTCAAGGTCACAGTTACGATTTTCCGTACATATACTATACTACTCGTTTGCAATGAGATGATCTGTAAACAGCACTGGACGGTTGTTTCATCCTTGCCAGGAATGAGCTGCCGTGGCAGCAGAAACCATTTATTCTGTTCCACTCCTTCTCTCGGAACGCAAATCGTGAACATTTCCGGGTTTAGTTTTAAAAGCATCATTCCTGAAGTACAGAGGCGACGGTTACTACCTCGAACGCACGAGAACAACACTTTTAATTCACAATCATTCTGTACAGTTCATCTAGCAGCTACATTGGCACTAACTTCACCTCCACGAGCAAGCATGAATGAGAAACATTTGACGAGGTTGTACAAACACTTAGCAAAAACACTCAACAGGACGCTTACGTCACCGCCTGAGTAACACACTGCATAGAAGGTAGAAGTTAGAAACGTTTTCATTTAGATTTCATTGCAATCTGTTAAATCACCCCAACATAGCCTATCTGTGGTCACGGAATTCAACAAATGTAAAATCCCCCAGGTTGTTCGGTTCATTTGAAAAAGCTTCATAGTTAATTCGTATTTCCTCAGCGGTCGGATCTACGCATCTCGCTTTTGTTTTATAAAACATGCGAAGAAAGCACTCATTCGACCAAACACACACAAGCACGCACAAAAAAATAACAACAACAATAAGATTTTGGTCAATCACACCCGGTGAAAATGATTTATCGGTATCGGATTCAACCATCACGCACATGAGCCGTTGCCAGCAACAAGTTACTGCGCTAAACTGTTAACCACCAAATTTTCAAAATATCGTGACTGCTCTAGCCAAAGAATAGCGTGAGTCTACTCCATCGGCTATCAAAGTAACTATGGCGCTTCTTATCCGCGGTGAAAAAGGTTGGTACCTGCTTTTGAAATAATGATTTTCTTCCTGTAACTATTTTTTTTTATAAAAAAGCAAACTGTAACACATCCATACGATGCAACCGGCTCCTGAATAGCAGAAAGTGAACGTTAATTACGGCAAATAAATCGGGAGCCTAAAAGAACCATTCTGCTCGATAAACTAAACCTCGAACTCCGCAGTTGGATTTCTCCATACGACATTCAATTTCGTTTGGCGAGAGGAAGAATAAAACCATGTCTGGAGTTGCTCTGCAAAACGAGAGCTATTTGCAAACTATGGTTAGATACGTAACAGGTACATAACACAACCGGAAAGTTTCCTCGAACTCCGCAGTTGGATTTGGATGTCGCGCAGCTAGTTGAATTTCATCAAAATGATATATACATCAAATTGGTGGAATATTTCTGCCAATTTTTCAGTAAATGTTTGTCGTGTACAGACCAAACAATTGACTGGGTTTCACCAGCAGTATGAATCTATCGATCGCAAACCCGAGCCGTCACATGTGAAATTTAAGCGGATCGAACCGTTTTCCACCTGCCCCAACACACAAGATAGTGTAATCCATCTAGCTTTACAAACCTTTGGCTAGCATCTGACCTCGCTCATTTCAGCACCCTACAGTTTCGGACTCGGTGAGAAAAGCTCGGAACGTGACCATCTTTTATCAGGCTGACCGAACCGGATCACAGACAGAGTTTTACAGGGCTTCGCATCTCACGCGGCGTCCGGTTTGTACACGATGACAGTCATCAGATTGCAAAAAAAGGAGATACTTCTAACACCGATTGTCTGACATAAAAATTAGTTTATACCTGACTGATTACGTATGTTGGACAGCAGTAGCCTGCACCCAAGCATGCGCAATAAAATCCCAACGATATGGGTGTTTTCTTTATTCAGATTTCATAAATACGAATTGGTGTGGTCTACATTGGTTTGTCCCCTGTCTTGACTGAAAATGGTCTTTACGATAATAATTATTATTATTGTTATTATTATAATTATAATTATAATTATAATAAAAGCAAAAAATGAACTGTCCCAAAACTGTGAATGTAAGACAGAGTTTACCTGCCTTGGGAAAGGTTAACCGCGGTAACCTAAACGTCGGCGAATACAATTCTCTACCGATATCGCCGTGTTATTTACATTATAACATTTACAAGAAAGCATAGCACATGGAGCATAGATTTTTCGATACACCCCTAACATTATTTGTCCTCAAAATTGCATCATACACCGGAAACTATTTTGCGGTAAGGGCTTGAGGTCTAGGAGGCATGATGAACAGTAATCATTATCAATATTATATAAGTATCAAACAATTAAAACACAAGTATTCTGTCCAATTCATCAAACATTATCTTGAAAATCATTATCTGACTTCCCATCCGGTCCGTTTAGTCGGGGTAACTCTAATATGAAAACTAAGATGTACAACTGGTATGTCAATCCAGCTAATCTGTGGAGGCAAAACCACGCCCAGGCTTACGGACACTTGTGGTCAAGTGCTTGGTCAAGCGATGACTGTACACTGGCTGTTGGGTTCGAGTATCTCGCAGCGATCTCCAACGACGATATTGCATAACGCTCCAGTTCATACCAACCATCCTCGTATGGTGCTCACACACATTCAGACCAGAATAGAATGTTTATCACAGAACCGAATCAGTCCTAATGATTCCCAATAACCGAGTTATGCTTTGAGCATCAACAAACAATTGTCAGCGTTTAATGGATTGCTACGCGTGGGCTGTTCTGGTTGTTGTTGTCGTCAAGGTCTAAGTCTGTCGCCCCGGTTGTTCACTCATTAATCAAATCATAAAATGTTCCTTCCACTCACCACTGGCACTGCGATGAAGCCAGAAATAGGGCAAATCGGATGACAAATACTGCGAACGAAACGAGGAGGTGTTGGCACGGGGTAAATTGGACTGGAGTGTGATCCGACTGTTATACCCGGTGCTGGGCAAATGACGATAGCTCCGGAACATGGCGTTCCGTCGCACTGGCACGGGCGAATCTCCCTGATCTGACGAGTGGGTCTGTGACGATAGGGATGGATGCGACCAACCTGGGGCGGTCATAATGTTCCACGTGGGTGGAGTTCAACAACAACACTTGTTCAAGGTCACAAGGAGAGCAACACACAATGCACTAGGGGAAACAAGCAGACGACGGATTTTCGAAACAGCATGAATTGAACAGGTACAGACGGCGGTACACGGCGTCCCGAATTCCCATGCAACAGGTTGCAGCAGGATGTTTGCTCGTTCGCTTAACCGTGTTTGTTGTACAGTTCCGCCTCTGACCTGGTTATTTCCGTTTATCGGTCGATCTGTGCGCGGATCACAGTGACGCATGGTCCCCCGCGAGCAGAAGCATGTGTTTGAGTGTACGCACACGCGCCTGCGTGCGTCCGTGCTCGTCGAGAAAGTACGAACTGAATGGTTACACATACAAACACACCTATGCGGATGTGTATATAGGGGTACGTGCGTGTGTGTGTGGG